TTGTGGATCTAAAATTTTCACCATTCTAAGTCTAATATTTGGATGATTTGGACGAATCGAAATGCGTTGGTCTTCAACAAACCCGGTAAAAACCCGATGGTAATTTACAAGGATATTGTGCTTTTTTCTTTTAATTGGATTAGACTCAGATCGAAGTCTTGTAATTCTCTTGATTGGAATGTTTGGTGTACCAGCCCTTTAACGGCTCTTTTGTATGTGCTAGCATCTTGCTAGCCTCGGCGGTTTCTTAATAAAATTGCTGTTTCTAAAAAAAAAAATTCACCATTCTAAAAGTTAGATGAGTTCGAAACCTACGTTTAACTTAACCTAGTAAGGTGAGTTCAAGTTGATTTGTGAAAACTTTGTACATGTAAAAATGTATATTTTGAAGTTGTGAAGATGTTTTCTTGATATTTATCAAATGTATTGATTATTTGATCTATTTTGCATCTTTAGTATATTTGAGTTATAAATCTTGTGAAAGACCCATATTTGGGATTTTGAGAAATTTTGATAAATGAAATCGTATTGAGTTTGTTCTCTTGATGATTTATTGTATAAACAATAATTATTTGACGATTAATGCACTTTTAGTATATTTTGTTTTATAAAGCATTTTGGAAATGCACATTTTTGTGCTATGAAGCATTTTCGAAATATAAAAATGCATGGTCTCATTTGGAAAATGATTTGCCTAAACAAAATGGAGTTTTTGAGTCAATCATACTTCATAGCATGTGTTTGCATAGACATGGGTTAAATGCGTTCTATTACTCATAATTGACTTCTATTTGAGTAGTCAAATAAGTATGGTATTTTTGGCTTTTTTTTTTGCCCATTTGGGTTTTGTGGACAATTGTACGATTTAATTTTGCTCATTGATTGAGCTTAGGCATGATTTACATTTACTGCATTTTTATTTTGAGAATTACATGTTTTATGCACGTTGGTCATTCAATTGGGATCATGTAAGTTAGATTGTAATGCAATTGATGAATATGCATAGGAGTCGTTTTGTTGGTTTGAAAATGGGATCATTATCCTTATTTTGTAGCTTGACGTCCATATGAGCAATAGACCTAGAGTGGTTGAGTTTGACGCCTATACGTACAGTAGACCTAGAATGGTAAAACTTGGTTTTTTCCATAAAACGATATGATCTTTAATTTGGGATAGAATGGTGTTGCAATTCTTTGATGGTAATTTTTAAGTTTTAAATATATTTATTTTTAAAATAAATATATATAATCTGTACTATATTATAAAGCATTTGACAAAAACTCTTAAAAACCACTTTTATGCATAAAGTACTGTTTATTAATGCATATTACTTAAAAATCAAGATTGCAAGTAGATTGTACGTAAGTACAACTTATTAAAGCTCGATATTTGAATTCGTGTAACTAACTGCAGATAAACATAATCAAATACAAGATAAACATCTCATTTTAAATATAAAAAAATCTAAAATATAATTAGGATAATCATTGAGTTCTAACATAATTTAATTATTATCTTTATAAAATGTTATATTATCAAACCAAAATTAAATTATTTCGTTATTAAACTTAAATTAAATTATAATAAAAAATAAATTAAAGAAATTACATAAAAATGAAAACTTTTAAACAGTTGATTTGATATTAACATTGATATATATTTTTTTAAATTTTTATGATATCTTTAAATTTATATTTTATTTAAAAATAAAATTATTATTGTTTTCTTAAAACACATAAAATCGTATTATAACATCGACAAAGACAAATAATAAAATAGAACATTAAAATCGAGATGTGTCTCGTTGCATTGTGCGAGTACTCTTCTAAAAAACGATAATTATTAAATAGTTAATTTGATATTAATATCGATTTTATTTTTTTCAATTTTTTATGCTATCTTCAAATTTATATTTCATTCAAATAATAAAAACATTATCGTTTTCTCAAAACCACATAAAATTGTATTATATCGATAGAGACAAAAAAATAAAAAGTAAACATTAAAATGAAGATTTATCTCGCTGCATTGCGCTAGTACCCTTCTAGTATATTATAAAGTATTTGACAAAAACTCTTAAAAATCATTTTTTTTTATGCATGAAGTATTATATATTAATGCATATTACTTAAAATTCAAGATTACAAGTAATTATGCATAAATACAACTTATTAAAGCTCCATGTTTGAATTCTTGTAACTAACTGTGGATAAACATAATCAAATATAAGATAAACATCTCATTTTAAAATATAAAAAATCTAAATATAATTAGGATAATTATCAAGTTCTAACAAAATAATTAATTATTATCTTTATAAGAAAATATATTATTAAACCAAATATAAAAAACTTCATTATTAAAGCTAAATTAAATTATAATAAAAAACTAAATTAAAAAATTACACAAAAATAGGAATTTTAAATAGTTAATTTGATACTAATATCGATATATTTTTGTCAAATTTTTATGATATCTTCAAATTTATATTTTATTCAAAAATAAAAAACATCATTATTTTTTCAAAATCACATAAAACCATACTATAACATCGATTGGGATAATTAATAAAATAAAATATTAAAATCAAAATGTATTTCGCTGTATTGCGCAAGTACACTTCTAATATAAATAATACATAAAAACTGATATTTAAATACAAATTAAAAGAACTTGTAAAGAATAAAAAAATAGTAACTTTGTTTTGTTTTTTTGGTAAAGAAAAAAAAAACACACACATACACCAAACTTTTATACATACTAAAAAATGTTTGACCAAAACCAAGGCTTGTAGATTACTCTTTATTTCAATTTTAATCAAGTGATAAGCTTGTGAACTAAAAGCACCATATATTATTTAAAAGTCAGAATTACCCTTTTAATATCATTGATATTACATTTATGATAGAAGGGTAGTTTTGTAATTCTTTAAAGTTTTTCTTTAGATCCTTCAATACTTCAAGTCATCATCGCCACCAATTTCTTTAATTATTTATTTTATTGTTGAAATGATTGCAATATAAAATGTACGTCCGATGTATATGAATTATCGTATGATGACTTTCGGTTTTTCGATTAATCAACAAGCGTGTGTTTCATGTTGTGATGTACGTGAAATAGATATCTTTGTATTTTAAATTGTTTTTATTTATTTATATATTTTCTTTTCGAGTAATGTGTATGTATGCATGTATGTATGTATGTATTTTGTATGCAATGTATATGTATGTATATACCATATACACACACACTTGTGTATATTAGTGACTTACTGTTTTGGAAAATCTCATAGAACTACTTAAATTCATGTAAAATTAAAAATTAAAAATTAAAAAAATTAAAAAATTAAAAAAGAAAAGAAAAACCATTTTTATCAAATTTATAAGAAAATGATATAAAGAGTGTAAAATTGAGATTAAATCTGTTGAGTCTCTACTCACTATTTATTCCGATCTTCAGAGAATTCATGTTTGAATCTTTGTGCACGGGAATGAGAGTAACACGTTACAACAGAAGTCAAGCCTTAGAGTGGAGTCACATGAGTTAACATAGCATTGAAATTAAACTTCGATGTCATAACACGACATAACGAGTTATTTAGAACTATGTATATAAGGGTCTTCTTTTAAGAACCTTGCAATATGTGAGATCCAATATAAACCACAAATAATATTAAATTAAGAGTTAAATTTGGAAATGAATAATTTTGGTGATTTAAAATAAAAATTATATAAAAGTTAATGTAAATATTTTGTATTTTTTTGCTCTTTCCTATTTCCCCTCTCATCAACAACACAATTTAAAAAAATAGTACTAAAACAAGTAACTTAACACATTGTGAAAATCAAATAACTAAACTTAAAGTTAATATGATTGTTGAGTTTCTATTAATATGTACGTTAGATGATTACACCATTACGTACCCTCTTGATATACATATATTTTAAATATATTTTCAATCTCTATATAACTCATTCAGTAATTGTAAACACACACACACACATATATATATATATAGGGTTTATTTCAAATACAACCTATCGTATTTGTACAACCAATGCAACCCAATAAATTAAAATATTTATGAAAATGATTAGAGTTCATTTATTATGATTTAAATATTTATGGAATATGAATACGGTTCATTAATTATGATTAATACTTTATATTATGAAATAATCAAAACCTCTATAAAATCACATATTAATCAAATGAAATGGACGGTTGAGATTGGGTTGTATTGGTTGCACAAATGACAAGGGTTGTATAATAACCAACATCTCTCTCTCTCTCTCTATATATATATATATAAATTGAGAAAATTAATTGAATGTACAAAATGATTGATGGTGAAAAGAATAGACTAGAGAAAACAACATTTTCAAGGTTTGGAGAGTATTTTTGTTATATCAAAGTATCAACCCGACCAACTCGTATAGTTTGAGTTGGATTAAGTTGATATTTTTCAAACCGTAAACAATGAGTTAGGTCATTCAAATGTTTTTAGCCAGATGCATGTTATTTTCTAAAATGCGATACATGTTATTTTCGAAAAATATAATTAAAAACATTAATTATAAGGTTTCGATAAAATTTATTGTATAAACAAATTTTTTTAAAATTTTCTCTTAAAAATTTAATATAATTATTAATTAAATAATACAAGAGGGAGGAACTTGTTATGAAACGAGAAATGAATTTACTGGTTACTTCTTGGAATCGGGGGTGCAACTTTAATTAAAGGATGATGATCATCACCATCCTTAATTCTCTCTCATTCTCTCTCTACAAAATGAATAGATACAACTTCCTGTAAGTATATATACACATTCCACCATTACAATCCACAGCATCCACTTTCCCTTTCCTCATCTCTCCGATGATGCTGTAAAGCCAACATTTGTTTATTTGGGTTATAAATACCCACATAATTCTATCGATATTCTTAATTCTTTTGATAGAATAATTCGTGAAAAGTAATTTTCTTGGTTTTAATTGATCAAAAGAACGCCGGTAAAGACTGGAAATGGGGTTCTTGATCGTTCTGTTGGTGGCAGCCGCTGCTGCCGCAGTGGTGAAAGGCGGTGTCGGTGGGTTTCCGGCCAGGGTTCTTACTTTGGAAAGGGCTTTTCCGGCGAACAAGACGGTTGAACTTGAAGTCCTCAGAAAACGAGACCGTGTGAGACACGCCCGAATCTTGCAAAGCTTCTCCGGCGGCATTGTTGACTTCGAAGTCGTCGGCACCTCCGATCCTTACTACGGCGGGTAATTTCATCAAAACCCCATAAAAAACTGTCCTATTTTTTCACCTTTTTTGGTGTTTAATCTTTATTAAATAACTTCAATTTTATAATTTCTATACCCACCGATTTCGAGTTCTTAATTCACATTTATTTTAGGGAAAATTTGTGGGTCTAATTAAATATGCAGTATTGTCGGTGACAACATGTTCTTATGAATATGGTGGTCGTATTTGTCTGGAATTTCTTGTAAAGGGGTTACCTTAATTTAATTTTTCTGGTAGGACAATGGGTGTCTCTAGATTCTTGATCATACTTCTAAAGAAACTTAAAATATTAGATTTTGGCATTCATTACTACAGTTGATACATTTTGACCTTTTGATTTCAAACCTATTTAGGGCAACTTATCTTACTGAGTGAGCAAGAGAAGGTCCGAGAATCTTACCCGGCAAGGGGCGTAGCAACGACCTAGAATCTTAAGTAGGTGAGGGAAAAAACTCTTACCTAGAATCTTAAGTAAGTTTTAGAAAAAACTCTTACCCGATAAGCATTTACATGGTAAAAAAAAACTTACCAACAATCCATTTTGATCCATTTTGATGGCCGAAAATATTACCTGATAAGGAGGTGAGAGTGGTAGCCTTGCTAATAAGCACGTACCTGGTAAGTGTTTGGTAAACGGCCCTACATGTTTCAGTTTTTGTTGGTTGTTGTAAACTTTAATGGGGTCATTGACTTTTTCTAATAGAAACTACATAATTCAGAACAATTATGAAGTTTGAGAAGAGATTGTTTGACTTGAAAATTCAAAATCTGTATTTTCTTTTGGATCAAGAGTATGCCTTTACTACCATCCCAACATAAATGTGTACGACCAAATAACTGTGCATCCTGTATTGAAATAAAGTGTCATATTAACTTTTTAATATGACAAACAAATTTTCAAATAATGTCATAATAAAAGGCTAATAGGGCGTCCAAAAAAAGTGCCAAACTTATTGTAACACATTTATATAAGTCGCACAATTATCTGGTCCTATAAGTCATATCAAGCAATCTATAGACATAATATGATGTCCTATAAAACCGTCTTTTTGTAGTGCTACCTTTGCAAACTTCCCTTTCCTCGGTGCTTTTGCCTTTTGGGATGTGGCGTGGACTATATCCCCAAATGTTCGTGTTTTTTTTAAAGTATATAATATTTATATACAGGCAAACTGCAAATGAACTCACACACAATCTTCACCTTTGATGAGGTTTGAACCCCTCACAATCCAAGAAGCAGGGTTCTATCAGTAACCTAGATACCGCTAGGCCAAATGCCCTTTGGGCTTTGGTTGTTATTGTTATGAATTTGATGAATCACTTATGACGTAATTTATTTCTGTTACTTGTTTCCTTTTAGACTTGTACATATATAAATGCATAGTATCCTCAATTGTGGGCACTTATTATTATTCTTCGTATTTTGGTTGTGCTGTAGGTTGTACTTTACTAAAGTGAAATTGGGTTCGCCACCAAGAGAGTTCAATGTTCAGATTGATACCGGAAGTGACATCTTGTGGGTCACTTGCGATTCTTGCAGTGATTGTCCTCGATCTAGTGGATTTGGTGTATGTTCCTTTTTCTTGTTTGTTTGGCGATTCGAAACTGAGTAAATGCCATGTTGTAATAGCCTCCTAAAAAAGCCCGTTTCTTGTTCATAGGTAGCTCTCAATTTCTTTGATGCTGAAAGCTCTTCAACGGCTTCTCAAGTATCGTGTTCAGACTCCATATGCTCTTCGATGGTTCAAACTGCAGATGCATCATGTTCTGATCAAACCAATCAATGTGGTTATAAGTTTCAGTATGGAGATGGTAGTGGAACATCCGGTCATTATGTCACGGATTTGTTGTATTTCGACACAATCGTGGGCCCTTCCATGGTTGCCAACTCTTCAGCTTCCATTACCTTCGGGTGAGCTTCTTGTCCGTTCTTTCGAAGTTTTCTTGAAAATGGTTGTCCATCAAGTGTCTGGAAAATTGCTGACTGAATCAGACTGAGTCAGAAAGCAACCCCTTCTTTACTGTGTCAGAGTGTGTTGGTAAACATCACTTATGGAGTAAGCACCTCTTACCCAGTAAGAGGCGGTCAAATGTTAGTAAACAACCCCTTAGGTTTGTGTGGAGACTTTGATGATCTTCTTGGACTAATAAAAAATATACAAGAAGGTGTACCCACAAAAATGATTGCTAGAAGTTGAACATGCCCCAGAAAAGGAGTCAAATATCATGCTCGATGAAACCTTAATGATCTTGTTTAATTAAGCAATTCACATGTGAATGGTTGAACTTCCTGTAACTATCTACATATGGTTTGTGGTGTTGGCAATAGGTGTAGCACCTATCAATCGGGTAGCTTGACTAAACCAGATAAGGCGGTCGATGGGATTTTCGGTTTCGGGCAACGTGGTCTATCTATCGTGTCACAACTGGCATCACGTGGGATTACTCCGAAAGTATTCTCGCATTGCTTAAAAGGAGATGGAACTGGTGGTGGCAAGCTTGTCCTTGGTGAGATTTTGGCTCCGACTATGGTTTATAGTCCCCTTGTCCCATCGCAGTACGTATTATCTTGAGTATTAAAACTTTTCAACTTTTTCTAAGTCATGAGTTTTTGGTTTTTTTAATTGACATCATGTTTTTTTAAATAAGTGTCCACATTTCTATTTTAGTTTGTCACAAAATAAGTGTCACATTTCGAAAGTAAGTGCCCACTTTCCAATTCTACCCTTGGTTGATGAAGAAATTCATTCTTGCCTCTGTTATTAAGGGTACAATTGTCATTTAGTTTATTTAATAATGTAACAATCACATTTTTCTAGAACTAGTCTTTTTCGTTATGGACATTTATTTTGGGTGAGTACCAAAATGGAAACAGTGCAAGTGTGATGGTTTCTGATCTTGAATTTTCAGGCCTCATTACAATTTGGATCTACAGAGTATTGCGGTCAACGGGCAGATACTACCGATAGATGCAGCCGTTTTTGCAACATCAGATAACCAGGGTACCATTGTTGACACTGGAACAACTTTGACATACCTCGTTGCAGAAGCATTTGATCCTTTTGTCAATGCTGTAAGTTTTAGCTCGTCTTCCGCCATTTACAGATTCGGTTTGAAATAAAAAAGCATGAACTCGACATAATTTCTTTTGGGCCATACCACATTCGATCTTTTAGGCTTCAGTGATCATATGAGTTGGTTCATCAGACTTTTAGGGGGCGTTTGATTTGAAAAATGGAATTTGGTGGAATTGGAATCCATCAAAGGAATTTGACTTTAAGGGAATTGATATAGAATTTGATGGAATTTCACCCTGTGTTTTGTTGGTAGGAATCTCTCAAAAGAATTGGAATCTCCATCTTTGTTTAGTGGTGTGGGGGTGGCAGCTGTGACATCAACAGTAGTGGCATGCTGTTGGGAGTGGGTGGGTGGTGGCAAGGGGTGGGGTGGGGTGATAGCTGTCAGGATGACAGGAGTGGCATGGTGGTCGGTGGGGGTGGCGACGACAGTAGGGGCATGGTGGTCGGTGGGGTGGGCATGGCAGCTAGGGGTGTAAACGAGTCTAGCTTTTAACGAGCTATTCAAGCTTGAGTTCATTTACATCGAGCTTGAGCTTAATAATTCTCGAGCTCGAGTTGATCTCGTATAAAAATAAAGGTTGCTTAACTTAACAAGTCGAACTACATCACACCGATGTTTGCCTCGACTCGTTTGAAAGCTGGATTAAACTTTATGAGTCAAGCCGAGCTGTTCGAGCATACACTTTTTTTGAGTCAAAACATTTTCATACATTTACAAATTATATAATCAAAATATGAAAAATCATCGCACTTGAGCCAATAAACGAGTTAACCGATCTCGAGTTCGAGCTCATAAACGAGCATTGAGCTCTAACTCAAACATTGAAAAAAATATCCGAGCTCAAGCTTGAGCCTCACTTTGAAAAGGTTAATCGAGCTCAACCCGAGCTCGAGCCTGATATTATTTTTTCGAGCCGAGCTCCAATAAGCTGCTACTCGACTTGACTTGTTTACACCCCTAGTGATAGCTGTAACGACAACAATAGTAGCATGGTGGTCAGTGGTAGGGTGTGGTTGTGACGGCGATAATGGTGGTGGGTGAGTGGGGGTGGGCTGGTGCGCGTGAAATTGAAAGGAGTGTGGTAGGGGTGGGTCGGTGGCGATTGTGCTGACGAACAACAGTGGTGTTGGTGGGGTGGGTAGTGTTGGTTAAATTGGATGCAAAGGTTACTTTTGTCTTCTAAAACCAAATTACAAAATCCGTTACATCTGACATGGGATGGTATTCAGTTCATTTACTTTTACCAAAGAATGATGGAATCATTAATCTATGGAATTTAAAGGATTCCATCTATTTCAAGAAGTGAACCAAATAAAGGAATTGGATTTTGGTCAAAGGAATTTACCATTCCAATTCCCTTGAAATCCCATGGATTCTATGAACCAAACAACACCTTAGCATTTTGGTAATTTGTATTGAAGTGTGTTAAAAGTCTCATATCGGCTAGACTTGGACTATTTCCCCCCTGTATATGTAGGAACTTCCCTTGCTCTTTTGGAGAATACTGCCATATGGCAGACCGACAATTACTAGCGATTCCGGCTTCACCAGACGAGTTATAGTCTGCAATCCAAACCGAGGACGGGTTTTTGGAGTTAGTCCACCCTTGTGGGATCGTGACCCCTTGTCCTGGCCATTGTAGCACGTGTCTCCTAGGGGCATAAGGGGTATGATGACTTGACGTCATCCTCGCCTTCCTGTGGCTTATCACCGGCAATTTTGTAATATATATTCATATGGTATCAAAGCCAAGGTCTACAACTTTAGGGACTCGACATGGGGCAATTTGTACTCGTCTAACCCCCTCTCGACACTCTAGGACAATCTATGCCCGTTTAGCCTATGTTGGAGGTGCCGTGTTAAGAGTCCCAAATCGGCTAGACTTTGATTATTTCTCCACTATATGTACTCGGTAAGACTAACGTATCTACAACTACATCCCTGGGATGTCAAGAGGGGGTGTGAATTCGAGGCTGAATGGTTAAAGCGCGCAACCGGGTAAATTCGTAGGTTCGATTTGGAACCTCCCTTCTCTCCTAGGGGGTTCTTTTGGAGAATAATCTAATGAGGTTCTACATATTTCACATGGTATCCAGAGCCAAGGTCTACAACTCTAGGTACTTGATACAACGGGCAATTGGTACCCGTCTAGTCCCCTTCGACACTCTGGGACAATCGTTGTCCGTCTAGCCTTTGTTGGAGGGGGTGTGGTAGAGTTCCACATCGTAATTCAATCTAAGCTTCATTAGTTTGCAATTTGTGGGCTAGTTAACCAAAAATTACCCTGTAAATTTTTTATCACCAAGATGCTCATCTATACAAATTTTCTTTATAGAATCCGACTAATTGACTTTTCAATTATCGTATTTGGAGAAAATTCAAAAAACACTTACAGTTCGTAAGAATGGGCGATTTGGGACAAATTGTGTGAATGTAAATGCCAAAATACCAAGAACTCGGCAGCCATTGTCCAAAATCGCCCATTCCTGAGAAATTTATCATTCTCTTTCGCATTTTCACAAGAACAACGGTCCTTTTGCAATGAAAAACCATGTATGATGGCACGAAAAGTCAATAACTCCATAATATTATATCCCTCTGCTCTAGCATTCTCGGACCATGGGGCTAAGTGTTTGCTTCTTGTTTGCAGATAACTGCTGCTGTTTCGCAATTAACAACCCCTGTCTTATCGAAGGGCACTCAATGTTATTTGGTTACATCAAGGTGCCTCTCAAATGCCGGTTTTTATTCGTTTCATTTTATATCCATAGCCATTTGGACCTCTAAGTGATTGTTATTTGCCTCATAAAAGCATAACTGGGATTTTCCCGGAGGTTTCATTGAACTTTGCTGGCGGTGCGGCCATGATTCTTAAGCCGGAGAACTACCTTGTACATGGGGATCCCGTTGTGAGTTTTCTTAATATTGTCTGTTTATTACTCCCTATGTCCCAAAATAAATGTCCACAGTGAAAAATGCATACAGTCTTGGAAATGTGTAATTGGTACACTTTTTAGTTAAGTAAAAGACACTTTTACCTTTGATGATAGAGGGGATGATGAAATCCTCCATCTAATAAAGGACACTTATCTTGAGATGAATGGATCCAAGTGCAAATCATAAGGCGCCCAATTGGGCTTCGCTTAAATGGTTGGAACTTGGTCAGTGGTTCGGTAGCGAAAGTTTGACTTGCTCGTGTCTGGTTTATTGGGTCCTCAAAACGAATGGTGTACCGTAAGGCACGATGCTAATATCTATTGAACCAAATGCTTGCAGGATGGAGGTACCCCATGGTGCATTGGCTTTCAGAAAGTTCAAAATGGGGTTTCGATTCTTGGAGGTCAGTTAAAATAGCATGGATTTTAATTTTTGACAATGTTCGTATATGTAGAGTGATTTAGATCTTTTACGTTGTAACATACACCTTCATACATACATAGTAAAAGACTATTCTGCCCTTGAAAACCGACAACGCCCTCGGATTCTCACCGGTTCTCTCTTATTCCTCTTGAGGATCCTGTGTTTAAAAGATGCCAATATTTTGGACATTTTGACATAATGTTTATCTGTATATGCATCAATATACATGCTCCGTAGGTTCTCAATTTTTGTGTGGTTTTCACGTGAACCTGAGCCTATCTGCATATATATATATATATATTTCTAATAGCTATAGTACAAAACTTCTAAGAATATATATATATATATATATATATATATATATATATATATATATAGATTCTTAGAAGTTTTGTACTATAGCTATTAGCCGTTCGGGATGCTGGACTTATTGAATATATTTTTGTTCCAGATCTTGTTCTTAAAGATAAGATCTTCGTTTATGATTTGTCGAAGAAACGAATTGGATGGACTGATTATGATTGTAAGCATGATCCTCCCCCTTATATTCATTTTCTTATAGAATGACCTCTTACCGTCTTCTTCGATATCCGTTCTTCAGGTTCGACTGATGTAAATGTGTCGATAACTTCCAGTAAGGACGAATTCCGAAATGCAGAGTTGAGCGGAAGCAGTTCATTGATAACCACTAGTGTTCTTGGAGCTCTTCTGTTCCATCTAATAGCATTAACGCTTGGATCGTCACTATGGTAAAAACCAGATCAATGTCGTCTAGAGTTATTGACCCTTTTAACCATCGTATTTAGTTTTTTCGTTGCAAACTAACCATTGATGTTTATAATCGTTGCAAACTATAACCATTGATTTTGTATAAACGCAAAATACACCGTAGTTTGCAAGATCGAGCAATTATAGACAAATTGTGAAAATGTCGAAGCAAAAAAACATGCGGTTTTAGGTACTATTTGTGTTCAGAATTGTTCGTTCTTGCAATATATGACGGTCTTTTTTTTGCATTTTTACAAGTATAATTGTTTATTTACGATGAAAAGTCAAGTACAATGGTTCAAAAAGTCAATAACTCTGAAACACTCGTGTTTCTATGCATTGGTTGTTTCGGCTGGCACAAAGCGAAAGATGAAAAGTGGCCCTTGCGCTTGGCTGTAAGAGAGGCTTAGGCTTCTTAAGGCCGAGTGCGAGTAAGGAGGTCCAAGTTGTTTTGCGGCAAGTAACTGGTGGGAGATTGTTGATGTGTAGAATTGGGTTTTTGATTTTGAGGTTGATTAGTGTCGATGGTAACGTCGTTGGGTATTCGTTTACGTGGTTTTAGTATTGGCTTGAAATGTAATTTATTCGCAAAGACAGATGAACGTTTTGTTTCCACCAAACTGTTGATTACTAATAACTTTGTTGATTGTAACAACCTATAGAAAGTGAGATTTGTAAGTTGTTTGTAAACCTTAAGTTGTAGGCTACTAATAACTTTCAGTTTTAAGTTGGGTCAATCCGTTATTTTGGCTTAAACTTTAGGGCGTATGAACTCAAAACCTTAGACAACTCTAATTCGCTTTCTTTAAACCTCATATTGGTTTGAACTTGAGCTCCAAAGATCAAAAGTGTTTGGAGGTTCCAGGTTCGAATCCAAGGAGGAATAAAAGTCTTTTTGTGATCATGGAGGTTCAAATGCGGTGACTCAAGCTACCCGTGAAACAAAATGGTTGTCTTAGATTAGTCGTTTGCATAGTGAATTGGATATTTAGGTTAATAAAAAAAATCGTTTTCTTTACATGTAGAACATATAAAATAAAAAAACAACAATAAAGAAATGGATATTGATGAAAATATACTCATGAGCTTAGCACGTGGGTAACGTAAAAGGTTAATAACGTTAGTGATAGGGACCATATTTGTAGCAAATTCAAAATAGAAAAGAATTTTTTGTAATAAATGAATTGTAGGGATTGTATTCACAAGATTTGTAAACCATGAGAACGATTTATGTGATCTACTCTTTTCCTTTCTTTTTTTCTTTTTAAGTAATATCTATATGCAACAAAATTCATATACATATCACATTCATCATAATTTGTGAGGTTTGAGTTGTTGACATCTACAGAAGTTTAGATCTACTAATAACCTAAATACCGTTAGATCATTGCCTTTTCATCGGTTATTTATTTTTCTTCCCCTTAAATTTTTAACATTTAAGATGGAAGACGGAGGTTAAAGAAAAACCTAAAAAATGAAAAATAAGGAACATCCTGATAATCGTGCATCTACATTGTATGCACATGTGTATATAAATAATTGAAGTTGAATTTTTGTTTCTATGCACATGTACATAGCGTCCAGATGAATGGTTACCAGATAAATTGCTTACAAATAAGTGTATACACTTATACATAACGTCCAAATAAACAGTTATCAGAGTATTCCATGGTTTTTCATTGTTTTACGGTTTTCCCTTAACCTAAGATTTAAAAGTAAACCTGTGCAATTAATAATGTGACATGCCATCGAGTGAGATATGGCGAGTATTTGGTAAGTAAATATTTCAATCCGTCTTTAATGATGTTGTATGATTTTAATTGATCAAATTCATAAATTTAAAATGGATATAAAATTCTGATGATTTGATTAAGAGGTAAACAAATATGAAATAAATTCATAAATTCAGAATGATTAAGTGGTCAAAATGATTAAGAGATTCTCATGATCTAGTGCAATATGAAATATAATTGTTTACAATAAAATTATGACGCTAAATGGTTAAGGATAACCCATAATACAAAATCATTCATATGGTTTTAGAACCATTAAAAGACAAACTTTTTTTATCACACAATATTCACCTCTTAACAATTCAGAAGGTAGCTCTTAATGAAACTATTAAGAGGTAAACAAATAACCCAAGATTTTTCTTAGAACTTCTATCTTTTATCTATTAGTTTCTTAAACAATAAAACAATTAGGGGCTATTTGACAATTGTCGAATTAGTGCAGAATGATTAAGTAGTCAGAATGATTAATAAACTCTCATGATATAGTGCAAAATAAAATGTAATTGTTTGGTAATTGTGTACAATGAAATTAGGGCTCTTAAAAGTTAAGAGAGATCCATGATACAAAATCATTCAGAGAGTTTTAGAACTATTAAGAGGCAAAAAAATTTTACCAAACAAGATTCACCTCTTAACGATTCAGATTTTGCTTGTCAATTGAACTATTGACAGGTAAACAAACAATCCTTAAAATATTGTTTGATTATTATAAGTTTAAATAAGATAAGCATGTGGAAACTACGATTAATATTTGATTTTAATTATATTTATTTCAGATAATCATTTCTTTATATTACTATCAAAATTCAAAAAGGCTGTAGAAGTATCACCGTTACATGCATTTAAAAGATCGTTTGATGAGACGATAGATGGAACCCAAATCACCGTTTCCACTTTCCATGCAAAAATCGCCTTTGCAATTTCTTATTAATTCATAATCTTACCTTAAAAAACGCATGATTTCTAAGCATATTTGGTCTCTGTGTTTAATTCCCAAAATCAATTCCATCAGCAATACGCAGATTCATTGTTTCTCATCCATCTCTACGACTCTCTATTTCTGACCGGAAAATTGCAATCGATAGTGTAACAATGGCATCATCGTCACCGTCGTTGATTGTCCCTGCGTCGCTGTATGTAGGGGATTTGCATCCGGAAATCAACGATATACAATTGACCAATGCATTCTCAGACTACAAGAGCCTCTCCTCCGTTCGGGTTTGTCGTGACTCTTCCACCGGCCGATCTCTCTGTTATGGCTATGTCAACTTCCTCTCTCCACAAGAAGGTATGCCTCCGTTCATATCAAAATCTAAACCAATTTGATTGATTTAATTTTATATAATTAGGTTCTTCGGCTATGCAGATTCCACATCTGAGTATAATTCTGATATTCATTTTGGTTATTGTTGATGTATATTTGATTTTGGGAAATTATAATTTACCTGCTGTCTGATTTCACTTCTGACTTCCGAGTAAGATATTCAAATGTATAACGCCTAATTTTATGCTTCTCATTCGGATCGGTTTTGGGTGTTTTTCAACTTTTGTTTGATATTTTATGAAGAAAAAGGTAAACAAGAAGCCAGTTCAGGTTTTCATGTGGCATACAAGCATTAGAATTGACAAATGCATTTGGATCTCTTTGGAAACTAATAAAACAGCATTTTTCAACCATAATTTGTTAACATTATAACTTATAAGATGTTGTTTTGTTTTTAAGAGGTGTTAAAGTCTGAAGTCTGGTGGTGCTGAAGTAGACCCATAAATGTTTGAATCTGATTTTACATTTCAGAATATCATAATGTTGAATTTATATTCTTTATACAATTTCATCCGGTCATGGATTACCTTGTACTTGTAATTTTTGTGCAGTTAAATATTTTTACTGTAGGATTGAGTGTCCTCATAGTTGTTATGCTGGTCTTTATTTTGTTGATTAAATCGTTATCCTTTCGAATTAGTTTATCTACAATTGTTCTTGGTAGCTATTTCTTAATGCTTTCAACTAACTCAGTGCCAAATATGAGCAGCTACACGAGCGATAGAGGCTAAAAACAACACCATGCTGTACGGGAAAATGATAAGGGTGACAAGGGCAAATCGGGACCCTGATGTAAGAAATGGAATTGGGAATGTGTTTGTCAAGGTCAGATTGCATTTATCATTAAATGTGTTTGCATTAATGGGGTTGGCTCCTTTTGGTCAATTCTCTAAACTCATGTTGTTAGCTCATTTTGGCTGATCTGAATTGTGTTGGCATTAATAAGCTAATAGTGTTTGAATCGAGCTGTCTTTGGTGTTTGGTTGCAGAATTTAAATGAGTCAATTGATAATGTTCAACTTCAAGAATTGTTTCAAAGCTTTGGGAATATTTTGTCTTGCAAAGTTTCCACATTTGAGGATGGCAAGAGCAAAGGGTATGGTTATGTTCAGTTTGAATCAGAGGAATCTTCAAATGCTGCTATTGAGAATCTTAATGGCACTAGTTTTGGAGGCAAGCAAATGTATGGCACATTTTCACTTATATTTGGATTCTGTAAATGACTGCTCCATGTTTATACCCTGGATTTACGACTAAGTGAGACCAGACTGTTTTTGTGTGAGACCCGAGACCACATAAATAACACTAAATTGTCATAACGGAACACTGGCAATGTTTTGTTGTGAAGGGTTGGTGTTTTTAACCACAAGGGTTGTGGCATAGTGGTTGAGGCCATGGGTGATGTGGTGGAAGATCCCATCTGCCCAGGGTCAATTCCATATATACACAACAATTGTGACAACTTAGTTTATCAAGGTTCATTCTTGCAGTCAAATTTGCCAGGATTAGTCCACACCCTTCCAAAAAAAGGTTGGGTGTTTTTATACCTTCACAATGTTTTATTGTGAAGTTTCAGTCTTTTTTCCTGGTCATATGGGTCTCACGAAAACAGACTGGTCTTATTGGTCTCTATGATTTTGTTTCTGATATATCAGTCTGTATTTTGTATTCTCCTATTATCTTTTCACATTAAATTGTTATAGATATGTAGGGAAGTTCATGAAGAAGAGTGATCGACTATTACCCAGTCCTGATGCCAAGTACACAAATCTTTACATCAAGAATCTAGACTTAGATATAACAGAAGACGTTCTTAAGCAAAAGTTCTCTGTGTTTGGAAACATTGTTAGCTTGGTTATAGTGCAAGACGATAACGGGGTTTCAAAAGGCTTTGGGTTTGTGAATTTTGAGAACCCAGATGATGCTAAGAAGGCAACAGAAGCTATGAACGGATTAAACCTTGGTGTGTCATGTTTGTTATGAGCCTAATATACTTTAGACATATATGCGAGCATTTTGTCTGAGTTACGCTTTTTGGCAATTCTTTATGTAGGTGCAAAGGTTCTATATGTTGGTAGAGCACAAAAAAAATCAGAGCGAGAACAAATTTTGCGTCGTCAGTTTGAGGAGTGGAGGAAAGAACAAATATCAAAATACCAGGTTCGTTTTCAATGGTTTTATTTTTAACAACGCCGCCAGTGATCATTGTTGGAGTCTAACATTGGCTATACGTAAATCATTTCTCCAGTATATATGTTAGAATCTCTCTTCTATAGTGGTATGGGGGTTTCACATATTTCTCACATTAACAACTCCGCCAGTGATCATTGGTAACTCCTCCATCAGAACTACATGCATCTTTATTTCAGGGTTCAAATGTTTATGTTAAGAATATCAACGACAACGTCACTGAGAATGAACTGCGAGAATGCTTCAGTCAGTGTGGCACTATCACCTCTGCAAAATTGATGATTAATGACAAAGGGATGAGTAAAGGGTTTGGATTTGTCTGCTTCTCTACACCAGAGGAAGCAAACAAGGCTGTGAACACTTTTCATGGTAAGTTAGCAAATTGCACAAGTTTCTAGATGTATTGACGCCACAAAAGAAGTTCAACAGGATTGCCTATATATTCGACATAGATTATATGAATTTTTGAGACATTTGTGCTCCTAATATTCTCCCTAAGCAATGACTAATACGTCATGATTTTGGCATTTGATGAAGTAACCATCATAATATTATCTTTGATTGTTATCATATCTGTAAATTCGATTGTTAATTTTTGTACTTTCTTCTCTGGTGTCTACTTTACAGGATACATGTTTCACGGAAAGCCTTTATATGTTGCCATTGCTCAAAGAAAAGAAGAGAGACAGGCACAATTACAGATCCAGTATGCACAACGTTTGGCCGGAATTGCAGGACCATCTACTATCATCCCTGGTGGATATCCTCCTCTTTACTATACAACTCGTCCCGGTATTATTTCACAAGTACCTCCACGACCGGGATTGATGTATCAACCTATGGGCATAAGGCCGGGATGGATGCCTAATACCTATGCTCCTCCAACAAGACCCGCTGAAACATCTTCTCTTTCTTCTGTAAGTTTTGTAATTTCTATACCTAAAACAGGAAGAAAAAAAACGCCATACTGCATCATAGTCTTACTTCGGTTAGATACTTTTGCAGGTGAAGGTTCAAATGAAAATCATAAATATTTTTAGAACCGTGAGAACCATTATATGCATTAATGCATATACATTATCAAATTTATTCATTGATGCATATACATTATTAGAATATGTGTTATCTACATGCAAGTATACATGTACTGTGGGAGGTTCAGGGGAAAACCCCCAAAAAATGAAAATTTGAGGAACACCGTAGTAACTTTCGTCTGGACGGTATGCACATATGCATGCATACAAGTAATTGAATTTGTTTCTTGGTTTTTTTACATGTGTGCATACGAGACAAATTGCTTACAAATTACTTGTATGCACATGTACATATCGTTCAGATTAACGCTTACGAGGGTTTTCCTCAATTTTTCATTTTTTGCGGTTTTTCCTTAAACCTGACCCGACATGTGCTTATGTCTATACTCACTGAAATTCATATAGTGTGTATGCATCAATATATATATATATATCAATTCTTACGGTTCTCAAAATGTTTAGTAGCATGAATGGCAGAAAAATATTCTTGCTGATCTTCCGAGTGTATATTTTCAGATTTTTGATGGTCCAAGACTGCAAAGACAAAATAGGGGAAGGATGAATGGACATATGCATTCACAGGATGGTCCTCAGACTGTTCCATATGTTTCCCACCTGCAACAGCCTGTTCAGACATCAACTGATTCTAGCAACCAACAGGTATGCTTTATTTCTAGTACTTTTTTCTTCGCACCCTCGATCAAGTTGGTTCATTTGCACTTAAAGGTCCGCTTATTATTTTATCAGAAATGCTTATCATGAATATGTTAAATCTAAAACAATTTAGTCTCTTGAACTAGTGGTAACACAGGATGTGTGCTTTTAATTTGTATTTACTCTCATCTGAAAAGGGTTGGGTTCCAGTGAGAATGAAAGTTATTGTGAGAAGGGTAAGAAGGGATCTCCTCCCTTGAATTAATCCTAATTGAAAATTAACACTAATGAGATGAAACTGACCAATTCCAGTGAAGAGCGCAATTCATGGGGTGGGGTCAGATTAAAAGTGATCAAGGGTCCAGATCCCTTCTTACGCTTCTCACCTTAACTCCTATTCTCACACGATCCTTCGTGACTTCGTCCATCTGAAAATATCTCAAAACTGACTCCACTTCTTTTAGACTGTTGATATTGCTGCATAATTGCCTTCCATCCTGTTCTAAACCTTGACTTCTGTATCATTGTGTGGACTTGTGGGTTTGAACATAAGGTTTTCCTATAAGGATTCTTATATTACTTAGGTCCTGCCAAATTTCTCTCATCTTCGTGCAATCTTTCATTGCAACAAAATCGTCTTTATAAGACATCAAATATTTAAATCGGCTTTATAAGACCCTAAATGTTCTAATAGATTGTTTTATATGACTTAACTTATATGATAAAACAATTGTGTGTCTTATTTAAAAGTGTTGCAATAAGTTGATAGGACCTTTTTTCGTGTCCTAAGACACTTCATGTCTTTTTTTATAGAACATTTGTTCTTATAGTAAGACACTTTTTCAAATAATGTCATATTTAATGACTATTAAGACGTTTTTACCTATGTTCAGAAATGTCTTACAAACTTGTTGGGCATCTTATCATTGTACCACTTTTACATAGGATGAAAAATTGTGTGGTTTTATAAACGATCACGTTCCTGATATTTTAAGGGCCTTGAGCATAGGTAAAAGAAAGGGTCCCCTATAAATACAAAAAACGGTTTTATTATCATAAACAAAATTAAATACGCCAAAGTGCTAATAAATCATATTAAAAAATGTCTTTGAGTATATCTATACTAAAATAATTAATAATAGTTTCTAAATCAATATTATCTACATATCTTTTTCGGTACATAACATGTTCTACTATCAGATAGATCACGTGTTACATGTAGCTTCCATATTTAGGCTAACGTCATTTAGGTTACAATGTTGATTGTTAGGAATAACATTTTGTGTGAAACAATATAAAGGGATCTCGTGGTGTGTAGTGGAGACGAATAAAAAATGGACTAGGGGACTACAAGATAAGCACCAGCCTAGCTAGGGCCCAAAAAAAGATAGCAATAGCAAGCTCACGAGCTTAAAGATTAAAGTTTAAAGTCGTTGCCTGATGAACTATTGAAGCACGAAAGTAGTCAAATATATATGGATAACAATAGCCAATAATCTCGGACTTTGGTACCAGATAAAAAACTTGGAAAAATTATAACCAATAGAAGCAAAAAATAATCATTTAACTTGTACAAATTTTTTCTCCAATGTAGTTAATTAATATATTTCGGTCCTTTGTTACTAAATATTTCTTTTTGGGCTATTGGTAAGAAATTTAGGCTCTTTTTTCTACAGAATTGTTTTCGACTTCGCTATATATAGAGTAAAAGTTGGGCCCTATTTCTTTTGAGCACTAGGCAAAGCCTGTCCCGCCCTCCCTATAAACCTAAGTCCTATGAAGCAGTTTATCGGCATTGTCTATAAACTTAAGCGCTATAAAGTAGTCTATTAGAATATTTAGACATATTTGATGTTCTATAAAGCCGATTTTACATTAGATTGCAGCATATAAAGTCACATCTTGTTTTGTTCTAGTACTTAAGTTATGCATATTACACAGCGGGTAGGACAGGTTCGGTATGCGCCAAATGGGTATGTCCAGGGAAGTAACAAAGGATCAAGTTCTGCTGGACCTGAGATGTTGAGTACTATGCTTGCTGCTGCTTCACCCGAGATCCAGAAGCAAATTCTAGGAGAACGTCTCTACCCGCTTGTCAACCAATTCAAGGTGACTTTCTTATTATTGATCATAGTTGTTTCATCTAACTGTTTCTAAAACCTGAATATAAAAAAGAAAATTGGACTTCATTTTATTTGAAGTATATAATATTTACATACGGATTATATACCGAAAATATTGACACGCACTCCTCATTTTTTACCCGTTTGGGGTTGGGCTCTACTAGTATCCAGATAACTTTGGATCCAATGACCCTTTGGTAATTCTTGCTTAGACCAAGATGTTTGCTTTCATAGTTATGTCTAAATAGTGAACTGGACCTTTACTCGATTTCAACTAGCTTGGACCAGACCAAAATGCTAGAGCTGTACAATATAAATTAACTTAGGGGCTGTTTGTTTGGCTCTTAATGGTTACATTAAGAGCCAACCTCTTAATCG